CTATCAATCGCAACAAAAGAATGAAACTTGACAGTCACAAATTGCGCCGAATAAGTGCAGTTGGTAGGGCTGGCTAAAGAAAGATGTAGAGTTCACAAAATCGCAGGGCAAGACGCCATCGAACTGCTGACACAGCAGGACGACCGGTTTAGTGCCGGAAGCAGAAGACCTGATGCGATTTCGGTCGCTCAGCCACAGGAACCTGCCTCGTAGTGCACGACTTTTTTGCTGCAGGTTCCTTATTCTCGTTGGGTTGGCTGCAGGGAATTTTCTGGAAATTTCACCCGGTTTGGGAGAAAGTCGAGTGCATGCAGACGTTAAAAATCGACCTCACATGTCTTTGAGTGCCTCTTTGGTCTGCATGAAATCGCCGTTTTCGGCGCAAGACTGTTGATAAGTTTCGCCGAGACTGCTCATTCGGCTTCATGTGACTGGCCGACAGAGGACCGATGTTCGACCGTGAAGCAGCTTCCTGTTGGCCGTGCTGGCAAACACATGCCCAAAACAATTAACAGCACTCGTGTCAACAAATAACGGATGAAAATTGGCTACTACTACTACTACTACTACTACTACGGCCACTGCTACTACTACCATTACTACTACTAGTACTACTACTACTACTACTACTACTACTACTACTATTACGGCCACTGCTACTACTACCATTACTACTACTAGTACTACTACTACTACTGCTACTACTACTACTGTTCAGTAGTATGCCCAAAAAGCCGCAGGAAACTCAAGTCTTACGTGCCTCCACACAGGCATCTCGGGGGTTCTCGCAGCGATAGCCCATGTAGCCCGGATAGCAGACGCAGGCGTAGGGAAGACTTAGGCCGGCCGTCGGCAGATCGAGATCCTCCCTGGCAAGATTAGCGGACAAGGAGATACAGCGTCGCGTACCCTTTCGTGAACATCTGGGCTGACCACTTTCCGGATCTTTGCAGCCATCGATGAGCAGGCAACTCATCGCCACCGAGGACCACTCGTAACCCTGAAACGAGCAAAGCATAATACACGACAATTATCTCATCCGTAAGTACACGAATTCGCTGCTTACTCGTGACAAGGGCAGACTGGGGAAACGAGAAGAGTCGGCAATACGCAGCAGGTAGTCTTACTCACGAAATCTCAACAAAAAAGCCGAAATGCGTTTTCGTTTCGAAAAGATAAATTAAGTAGGTTTGTAAAACTAATCATCGTACAGTACAATTCTATAATAATTCAGTTACCAAAGGACGCCAGCTTTCGAACAAACTTCTGTCCGGCACCATCCAAAAACCATACTCCGTGATAAGTGACTACTTTCTAAGCATGCATTTTTTCACTGATTTTTGATGCCCTTAAAGATTCAGTTGTATTTCATGAAAAACATGCATACAAATATTCATTCTTCTGTTCATTCGGTAGAAAATTGTTTCTTCTTTCAATTTTACCCTCAAAGGAAGGGTATCATTCGGCTTTTAAGAAGTTTTTAATTGTGAGATTTTTTAGTACTGGGAAATGACGCTTCATAAAACGTCATGTCTCTACATTTACTAATGTGGCTTGTAAAATTAACAATGTGGCTCAAATCCACTGCTTAATTTTATGAACCCCATATGTCTCCTCTTAACACGGTAGAGGAATCTATGTTTATCCGTATGCGTAAATTATACAGGTTGTAGTTCGGGAACCCTGAATGCAAGTGTAACGGCAGGTCGAGTTCAAAATTATTCGGGGATTGGAACATTTTATAAAACCAAATTTTAACCTTTCTTTGAGTGTAAAATTGAAAGAAGACGTAATATTCTCCTAAATGAGCAAAGGAACGAATATATGTATGCATTTTTTCTATGAAATAGAATTAAATCTTTAAGGGCATCGAAAATCAGTAAAAAAAGTCATGCTTATTAAGTAGTCAGTTCTTGTAGAGTATGGTTTTTAGATGCAGCCGGAAAGAAATTCGTTCGAAAACCGACATTCTGAGGTAACTGAATAACTATGGAATTACGCTGCATGAGGATTGGTTTTACAGCCCTACTTAATTAATCTTTTCGAAACGGAAACAGATTTCGGAATTTCTGTTGAGATTTCATGAGTTAGCACACTTTATGTGCATATCTGCAAGCTACCTCGATCAACTGAGACTTCACGTCAAATTTCGTGGTCACCCTATTTGATCACTTTATCAGATTAGTAAATTTTAGAGAAAAGATGACTTAAAAATTGAGAGTTATTTAAAGACCCAATTTTGCAGCGTCGGGTTCTTTATTTTCATCCCAAGGAACGCCGCCAGCTGAGTTATGAGAAATTGCAAACGTCCAACTTTCCAAGCCCACCCAGCAGTAGGCATTATCTAGCGGAAGGTCTGATGGTACCGGCTGTGTCATGGAATTTCACACCATCAGCGAAGTCACAGTCAGCAGGGCAGGATTTCAAAGCTGGCCATGGGCCATCTAAATACTGTCAGCGGTTGAAAATAACAGACTTTTTCATGAGCACTTAGGTCTCACGTGTTGAAGTCGACTAGTGAAACTTATTAACAGACTGCATTCCTCTTTATCTAACATGATCTTATATTAGTTTATGAGGACTGGTTAGCCTGACGCTGTCTTAAATCAAATGCCTGTTTGCCCTTTTACCTTTATACACCACGGGAAGTACACGCGGACCAAGACGTAGATGAAGAGGGACCACAGGACTCTCCTGGATACAAGATCATAATGCTGATTGTGAGAGCTCGCTTGGGATCCTGCGTTGTCTAGTCACGACTCATGGCAGACGGGACATACAACGAATGAGCTGACTCATGAAATTCGATGACGGTAACTGAGATTAGAACTTTCAGACAGCTTAAAACGTCGCGCATTTTACTCACTCGTTCAGCCCCTTCGAGTAATTGTCCTTTTCTTGTGCCGAAAATGTGTCCACGTAATGTCATCAAGCAAACTGCTCATTAGCTTAAGCGGACGCTGCAAACTATTCCGGCAATTCCCTATGCTAATACCTGTCTTGCACTTCGTTCGTACATCGGAACGTGTTATTCTTCGAGTACAAAGTGATTTACACTTTCGAGTTCTACCAAGGAGCGCTTGTGGCACCTGTAAATTGGCTTTTTGCCTGATGCTAATGGCTGACACGCGCTTATCGGGCTAAGCTGGCACGCCGCATCAACCTCTGCGTCCAATCCCATCACCCATTGATTGATCGGTTCAGACAATCGACTAGTGCATGAGAGAATTGGAGAGAGGCTGGCGCTGGACAATGCCATCCACATGGCACTTGAATGCATTTCTCACTATAATGCGTTTGACGTGTTTAAGTCTATCACGACGCGCTATGAGTCGTGACCTGGAAGACTGCCAAATGACGGGGCAACTTGCCTCTTCCCAAGACCAACGGTCAGGCTCAACAGCTCCTCCTAAATGCGGCCTCTATGGCACTCCCTCCGCAAGTGAGGTACGAGCCATCCTTGTGGAATTCTGGCTCACGTGGTGGATAGAAAATCGTGTGTGAGACGCGTAGGCGGCAGTTCGGACTGCCAGTCACTGCGTTCACGTCCACCTCTAGCGGTCCTGACATTGCTTTGCCATCTGATGAAGGTTTGTGAGAAAGTAGAGAGTGCTGTAGCTGCTGCGCAAAACGGTATTTTACAGTCAAAGTAGCGGTCGTCCTCCTCGACCTCCTCGGACACATCCACGCCTCATCAACACACTGGGGTGACTTCTTTCCGTCCACATTGTCCACGCTTATTTACTCGCCGCACCTAGGCTCTGGGGTGACTTCTTTTCTTATTTGGTGAAATTCTGGTCTTTTGCGTACAGACCAGGGGGTATGGTAGTACGCCTAGGAGCAAATTCAAGACGAGACAGCTACCTGAGCCCCCTCCCGCCTCTTGTCTTCTTGAGTCCGCCATGGCACCCAGTCCAGATGAGAGAGGATGGGAGAGTGCAGTAAATGCAGTGCAACTCTACTATTAACTAATTTACGGGCAAGAAATCGTCCCTGTGCCCATTCTGTTTTGTGCGGACATCGTCGGGATCGACAATCCAACTGTCTACGTCTCAGCCACCTGGAAATTTCCTTCCCATTTCTTCCTTTGTTCCCAATTAAATGGGAGTTTTGATCGATATAGTTCTGCAGGTTTCTGAATGATTAACAATGTGTCGCAATTTTGGGCACATTTCATCAGTTAGCCTGCCCGCTGTACACACTTCTCAGCAGAAATTTTCCCGTGATTTTCGAAAGTGCACCAAAAACCTACAGTAAACTCACATTTTGGCAGACGCAGCGATAATTGTGGCTATAGACACCAGTTTCAGTCGGCTGGCAAATTTTGAGGCCTTCTGAGTGGATATATCGCTCAGCCAGATCTGGATCCATAAGAGTTGACGGACTGAGACGAATGACGTTGTCCATCCGGTTACATGGATTGGTCAGATGTGTGCAGGCATTGGGGCAGACTGGGTGCGTATACAGCAGCGCCCGAGAACCATTCAACTTTGCGCCACTGGGCCAAGCAAATTTGCAGTAGTAATACCAGAACATTGCTATAAACAAGGGAAAAGAGGCCTTATTTACTGACGGTTTATGGAGAAATTGGAAACTCGCGATCATTTTTATGACTAGACCTAGTAATACTGGTAAAAAACTGTGTTACATAAGTACAGAATTCTCAAGTACCGACTGCCGTCGTGACCCTTGCAGAGATTAATGACTGGATGTTAAAGGTCGACAAACCGGTGCGATCTTTACGGCCGTCGCCAACGACCATGTTCACCGTGTGTCTTGAGTGTGGCGGATGTAGAGCAGTATAGGGGAAGCAGACTTGGGCTGCATCTTTTAGACTCTCTTCTTCCTCAACTACCTGGTCCGGTAGCAAGACTAGATCAGAAATTCTGAATTCTCTATTCTTTGTCATTGCATTTTTAATGTAATTTCCTCCAATTCTGGCGTCAGGGCTAGAGAGAATCACATTGTTCTGCCTATCGTGTTTTATTTTTGGCTTCAACACTGGATTCTGATGCTGGTTAATTCATCACACGTTTCTTTTCTTCCGGCCTCAATAAGCTGGTTTAAGAGGATGGAGCCTGATAAATGGTCTCACATATCAGGTTACGGAACGTGCCTGCCCCTTGCGTCTTGGGCCTTAGTCTGGAGCCCTCGCAGGCAGGGTGGAAAGGATGTTGACGAGGAAGGGACTAGAATGACAGTCTCTGGCCTCTTGTTCATCATCGGCTAAGCAGATTCACTCCACGGTTTGGATACCCTGTTAACGCTTTTCGCAAAGAAGCTTAGCGGATATTCCAGTTACCCCGATCTGAAAAATCAACCGTAGTTGTTCGAAAGCCACCAGTGTGGGTTGAATCGTTACTTAAATGGTCCGCAAGCAGAACTCTTGAATTTGAAAGAAGTTCCCTTAACCCTATTTGCCCTCATCCTAAAGCGTTTCACGGTTTCAATCGCAGTTCATTTGGGCGGTCAGGAAGGACAACGTAGTGTTAAGAATGCCGTGCACTTCGATCCCCCACACAAATGGGCACTTCGCCTTAGCAATTTCAGTTCAGTCCACTTTTACTAAGGTAAAGATGGGCGAATGCCTTTAAATTCCCTATTGGCTAGAAATTGTTCGATGAAAAGCATCGATAAATGGAAAGTTGAGAGAGAGAGAGAGAGAGAGAGAGAGAGAGAGCGAGAGAGAGAGAGAGATTGCTAGCACAATCGCACGCGAAAGGCAGACAACTGTCTGCCAGTAAAACGTGTAAACATGAATGCCTACTCACCCCTTTCAAGTAGCATAAACACATGTATGTTAGGTAGCTGGCCGTGTGATTGTGTGTCTGGATGGTGATTGGAAAGCGTGATACGCGTCCAGTCCACACTTAAATGAGCCCGCACAGGGGTAGTGTACGGCATCATAGGAAACAGTTGAGCAAGACCGCGGAGAGCTTAGTCTTAAGTCTGCACTTTATCTGCAGACTCAGAGGAACTGTGATTAATTATCTAATCCACGCCCAGGAGCCCGACAGTCACCCTCCACATCAGACGATGCTGCGAGAATAAGTCTTGAAAACCTCATCAGCATATCTATACTGGCTTCTGAATTCGAAAGCTGATGTGATCTACCTGCAGGGATTTCGTTAATCAGGCAAAGATGCTGCAAAGTGAAGTTCAAAAGAGCACAACCGAGAGGATTAAAACGGTAAGCACACCTTATTCGGTAGCCAAAATGACCGTTGCAGGAGGACTTTACCAAAGTGGTGTAAACCTTGATAATCGATATAGAGAACAGCAAGGAAGTCAAATGGGGAGGGGGGTCAGCTGCTCAGACGCAGGTCATGCGGATGAAGAAGAAGAAGAAGAAAAAGAAGAGGGGGGAGGAGGGGGGAGGGGGGGAAATAGACTAACCAATAAAAGACCAAATTTCAGGGATTATCCCTGATATCCTAAAAGAAACGTTTTTAAAAACGAAAACGTCCAGCGAGTGCAATCAACTTCCTTGAAAATGTTTTGCATGGATGGCTGACGACGGTTAATGAGCCAGACATGATTACCCAAGTCTCCCTTAGCTTTGTTGACACTGTCCTTCTCTCCGCCTTGCATTCCCGGTCGTTTCGTCGCTATGACTATGCGAAATTTGACATTGGCCTCGCATGGGCTTGAAACCAATCGACACAGCTTCTTCACTGATTTGCTACGGGCAAACGCAATTTAAACCATGAGGCGTAAACACATATACACGCCTGGAAGGAGACAGCTTGCGACAACGGCATACTGAGCCACTCGGGACGCCGCTCTTTCGACACTGGACGTACCCTAGTCCGGCTGCCAACTCACGTCAATCTCTGCTCTGGTTCTTCTGTACAGAATACACTATCCTCCCAACTTCTGTTCTGCCCGGTCAGTACCAGTCCTGAAAGTCGTGGTGGACAGGGTCTTGTCATGGCTTAAGCTTCTGCGATAGTCACAGCTGCAGAATTCGGGCAGGGGTTTCTGAAATTCTACTAACTCTAATTCCTGCTGTCTGTCGAGCAAGAAAGCGGAAGGGCCAGCGGCAAAGGAATGCGTGAACTGAGAAACTTCCGGTTTTCTAGCAGACGCAGGTGACTGTCAAAGCACGTTTTGGGAAGGATCTGTTGAGGGCAGACATGACGGACTATTGGAGCACATTCAAAGACGCCTGGCAAAAATTAATGGATGACGAGTGTCCAACGAAGGCAATTCAAAGAAACGGGCCATAGTAATTTATTGCGTAGAATAAGGAAGAAATAAGGAGGCAGGTGTTTCAGAAAACAACCGTCGGCTACTGTGCGCGACCGATCTCATGAAATGTTAGCCGAAATTCTGAAATGTTTATTCGATTAGGAAGGATTACTTGGGTGGGGTTGTAATATTGATTAGCCTTCAGCATAATCTTATAGCATTTTGGACTAACCATGATGTCGGCTTCCGGATGCACTCCTTTTTGACCTCCTGCGGGAAGCGCACTCGGTAAAAAATGACTACATAATTAGCATGCATCTTCCCTACTGATTTTCGATAGCCATATAAATTCAAGTATATTTTTTAGAAAACATGCACAAAAATATGCTTCATAATGTTCTCTTGGTAGAAAATCACATTGTCTTCATATTTTATATTCGTTAAGTGTATTAAGTTTTCAAAAAATTTTAGTTGTGAGGTTCTTAAGATCGTGCAATGTGCATGCATAAAGGGTCGCACATGCCCGTTTACTAGTGCTATTCATGAAATGTACAACGCAGTCCGGATCCATTGCAAATTTTTTTGAACTCTGCCTGGAATCTTCTTAAAAGCATAGAGGAATATATGATTTTTTATATGCGGAAACCATGCACCTTGTAGACTGATATCGTTAAAAGCTAATGCAATGGTAGAGCAGGCATAAAATTATTCGGGAATTGGGAACCTTCCTCAAAACCTGAATACACACTTTTCAGACATAAAATACGAAGATAATGTGATGCTTTTACCAAACGAGCAAAATATAGCATATTTTGTGCATGGTTTCTATAAAATGTATTTAAATTTATAAGACTACCGAAAATCGGTAGGAAAAATGCATGCTATTTAAGTAGTCATTTTTTACCGAATGTGATTTCTATAGAAGGTCAAAATGAAGTGAATTCAAAAGCCGACATCCCGGCGAGACCGAAATGCTATAGAACTGTGCTGCATGATAATCAGTAATACAACGCAATTTAGGTAATCCTTCCTATTTGAAAACACATTCCAGAATTTTGGACAACATTTCATGAGATCGGTCATGCATTCTGTGAGTTCACAGGGTAGGGATGCGCGTGCAGGGAGCAGAGACGCAAAGCACGGGATTCATAAGAGCACAGCTTGCTAAATGACACCAAAGAACTTGTGTGTCCGCTAAAAGAAAGCAACTAATAATCTTCAACATTTTGTCTCAATTAAGGATAAAAAACGAAGTTACCGCCACGTAATTCCCGAAGACGGGGTTCTGTCCTACTTATATCGCTCCATCTTTGTCGAATAAGCAGAAATGACAATAAACAGAAGCCAGACACCGTGTCTGCTCAATAACCTTAAACACCTCAGTCTACATTGTTAAGTAGGAATCAAAGAATCCGAATATGTGTTCCAAATGTGCGGTTAGGAAAGCTTATGACCGAACTGGCAAAGCCTCTCTCTTTATTTCATTTCAGTGGTCCTTAAGTTCCAGTTGGTCAGCATTCTCCTAAAAACCGGAGTTACCATTAATGACTTATTTTCGTCGGATGTTTTTATGTAGCCCAAATGGAAGCAAGCAAACCCCAATTACCTTTAATACGGGACTAGTAGCAATAGGACTTATTAAAGTTGGGACAGGGGAACACACAGGCGACGAGGTCAGGTAGTTGTATGCAAAAGAAAAGCTATTGGGACTGTGCAGTTGTACTTTGGGTGGCTAAGAAATAGTTGCCCTAACTCTCAGCTCTAACCCTAACCCCAACCCGATCAGTATTGTGTCCATCAGGTGGGGTTATATAGCCACATCTTGCCTTTATTTCTTACGAATGTAAGCGTACGTTCGAATTCCGGGTGTATGTATAATGACGAAAAGGCTGACCGATCAACGGACCCATTTGTTCTTTTACCGAACTCTTAAACTCTTGCAGTAATCCATCCTCAGAAATAAGAGTATCAACCAAACAAGCGACAGTTCTAGTGCATATTAGCTAGCCAGGGGGTCAGTTACACAGGTCTGAGGGTGCCTGAACAGGTCTTTCTGTGCCGGCAGGTGATTGGTCATCAATATATCGATCTGGCGCCGGCAAACTGGGCCCTGTGCAGTCACATATAGACCTGCGTCAGCGATCATTGATCGGCTAATGCCACCAATCTACATGTCTTACTTGTTTTTATACCATAGTTGGCGCTACGAGATCGAAGGAGCGTTGTCATTATTGATAATCTGACACGAAATTTCCCTACCGTGAATAATACTCAGATTCCCTAATCAGAAGTCATGGAAGTCAGACTGGGTTGAATCCGCTTTTTTATCTAGAGAATGTTTTTTTCGGGAGGTTCTGTAAGCAGTTGCCACAAGCGGTATCTTGCTGGTGTGCTATATGTACCTCGGTTCTGTCTAAAAAGTGTCCGCCTCTAATTAACAGGAAAAGAAGCTGCGTTGATCGGTCTCAGGCCCAAGCGAGGCTGTTGGCATGATGGCTTTGAATACCTTATCTTCTAGTTCACTGCAATGTGTCTCCACACGCGGGTATAGTATCTTTACGCAACTGCGTTTGCGACTAATTGGATGGTTGCTGTTGTAGCTCAGTGCTTGCGTCGTGTTTGCCTTCTTACTAAATACCACAATCTTTGCGGCAGACGAGGACATCAAGAAAGGCCAAGTGGTTGTTTCCCCCTTCCTCCATCCTAAGTTGGATGTCCGAGAAGATGGTAGTGAGATGTTCTTTGAATTCTAGCACCCGATCCCGTTCGATGATGACGACGATATCATCCACGTACCGAGCTCAGAATGTAGGTCTGTGGAGAAACCGGAAGACTGCTGCGGACGCCGGATGGACGAGCACGCAGCAACAGTGCGGAGGAAAGAGGCCAGCCCCCAAGTCGCAGTTCACTCGATAGGAGCCAACCATGCATTTAAGTTTGATGAAGTATAAATTATTGCTAGAGGTGACAACTGCTTGAGCCGCGAACTGCTCGAGTCATGGTTTTCCGGTCCGCAGTCAACCAACAAGCGCAATGACATCCCCGCTCCATATTCGGCTCTGAGACTTTGTCTAGGCAACGTAATTAGCCGCGAGGACAGCGTACGGATGATTGCTGTTCCTGGTGTCAATATCGGCGAGCCACATTGCCCAAGATTCCACGCAGATGGCGAAATCTGGCCGTCGGCACCTCAACTGCGTACGCTGAGCGTGGAAATCGATAATCCTGACAGGCTCTCAAGCACATATCAACTGTACGGCAACTGCATACTTAAACACCTAACCTGTCGAGCTGTGATTCACTCGGGAACTGCCGACTGCGATAGGCATGTAGCGGCTTAGCAACTACATTCTATAAATACTGCAACACCTGGGCAATTAGTCACCCCTATCTGACTCTGTCTCTAGTGATGGATTCGAGGAGGAATCGGAAACGTCGGGCTAATAAAGCTCTTGTTCCAGTGATCGTGTCTCCTTCATCGCGACTACTTCCTGGAACTCACCTCCTCGCCTGTGTTAGCCATAGACGAAGAGTGAAAGAAGTTTAGAGGTACGTCGTGGATTGATGGCATGTCCATGGCTCAATATTATTATTCTAGCCCAAGCAACATCATTGATTAAATAATTTTAACAACTGGTGACATGCCTACTTTCCTGAGTGTCGATTTGTAGTTCTGTCCTTCCGATAAACGAATGGAGACGCAAAGTGTGCTTTTAAAGCGAGCCAGCCTGGCACTCCAAATGCACTGACTCACACAAATCTAGAACAACACAACGAGGAATCTGAAGCTTCCTCAAGTCGGAAACCGAAGTTCGTTCGCTACACCATTTATGACCAACTGGCCCCTCTGTTTCCTTGCAATCACGTTATACGTAACGAAGCACTGGGGACCGGAGATAGAATTAGCAAAAGTAGCTACAATAACACACACACACTTTGGCTGAGGGACAGAAACTGCGTAAAAGCAAACGGCAGCAGTTATAGCCTAGATACCATCGGCGAGTACTCAGCAGATCATCGCTACTTAAACTCCGACCGTTTTTACGGACGATGTCCAAGGAGTAGTGGCTGTAGTCTTAAACTGCTGTGAGAAGTGGGAGTGTGAAGGAGGTTAAATAAAGGAGCGGGGGGCATTGCATCCTGACTCTCCATCCTGAAAGAGAGACTGAGTTGTTTAGTCAGTTGGCAGTCTTTCAAGCCACAGCTTCTAGCGCACCGCAATAACTTAAAAAGCATCAGATATTTTGTCTTGAGGGATATGTGCTGAGAGCTATGAGGATAAAGTCCTCGGAGTCGACATTATTGTCTCTTCCCCCTCCTAGTCACCAGCCCACGGTTCGGGGTGGCTGGTCAACTGATGCGAGGATTGGGTGCAGTGGTTAACAGATATAGGGGGAATAACATTACTGACAAAGGGAGACTGGAATGGCCATTTCTGGCTTATTAGCCGTCGTCAAGCAGCGATATCCAGCCCCGAGGTGCGGAGCACCTGGTTAGGACGTTAAACTTCTAAAAAACAGGTCGCAGAACTAAGCCCCAGGTTCCGCAAACTTCGGAGTTGCGTATGGCTGGCTGACGACGGTTTATAAGTCAGAAATGGCTATTCTCGTCTCCATTGTCATTGTCGGTAATGCTATTGTCCCTATATTACACGCCGCTGTGCGGCTGCTGGTTTGAACCGACAGAGAGCCCGTAAGGCACAACTGAACCAGTGATTTCTGTAATAAGATCAGCGAGCACCCATCTACTAGAGTTAGAGATCCGGTCTGAGCGTGCTACACACAACACGTCAAGATTTCGCACAAGGCGGAAGGGCGGCTCGGATCTCGCGCGCATGCGAGTGTCATAAAGGCGCATTAAGAAGGAGCCATTAAGCCTCATTTCCATCCAGTTCATCCAGTCGTCTCCCCACGCACAAACACAAACACATAGGATCACCTGTAAGGCCTGGGTTGTATGGTCAGTTGGCTTCCTTCCAAGTCACGTCCTATTTGCTATCAGGGGGCGTGCCTTGAAGTGCCGTGGGGATGAAGTACCCAGGGTCGACTCCAATCTCTCTTTCTTCTCGCGTTCACTGCCGGATTCTTCGCGTAAATCTATGACGAGGTATCAGACTAGCTAACCTTTGACAATCTCTTCATGCACCCTTTACAATATGGCTAGTTTTACCGAGACGGGAATAACACTGACTGTCAATTCTCGCATCGCTTTCATGCTCCACCGTTTGATGTTACTCACATATCGGTTTTCTTCGTCGCTCTTCTTACGTGGGGTTAATTTATGAGAACCCTGTCATTTGCGCTAAGCGATACGTTCCATCGCTTCGGACACCTTTATATATAGTAGAGGGTGCTAGAGTGTTGGCGGCTCTACTACTGCTGTTACCACACCATCACTCTCGTCCTTCATATGTTAAGCATAAACCTCATCCTTTGTCGTCGGATTGCAAATAAACATAAGCTACCTACAACACTTCAAGTCTCTGGGATACAGAATATTATGGTCCGTGAAAATGGGGTCAATGGAGATGACTTTTAAGGCATGACTTACCAGAAAGGGCTTCGAGACTGTAATCGGGGGCCACAACATGCTCGATGGTGAGTACGCCCTCGAGAAACATAATGCCAAGGAAGTCGCCGAATCCACAGCCGATTTCCAAAAATCCACCGGGATGTTTTCTACGGCCGATCCTCTCGCTGCATTTACGCATGATATCGTGTATTCTTCGGACCCGCTCACTAGTCAAAATTCCAGGTAGCCGAAAGGCAGCCCGCTCGCCATAGCGCAAAGATGAGGTCACTTTTAGGTCTTCGCTGTTGTACTTGCCCAGTCGAAGATGCGGCCTGCGTAGCTGTCTCCTCCCATAGCGCGAAAAGGCGTCGTTTTCATTTCGACGGTAAATGTCTCTGGGATAGTACTCATACGTGACATAAATGCCAACTGACGACAAGTATGCCCGCCTGCAGGCGCCCGACCCATAATCCCAGGAGTCCTTGTTCATACCGCAGTCGTACGATAGAGACCATTTTCCAGCCTCTATCTCGGAAATCGAAAAGGAATGAAATAATTTTCCAATAGTGTCCTTGGGATATCCACGATGAAGGTTTGCATACGGTTCCTGGTTAATGCTCGAGAGTAGGTGTAGCTTGGAGAAATCCTGTTTTGTTGGGACGAAGGCGGCCAAGAGTAGGAGGAACGGGAGACCGCCTGGCGGATATGACATAATCATTTAAAGCGAGACTCAGCTGTCATGCCTAACTATCTTGCTGATAGCTAAGGCCGATCAATAAGCCGTGGGGCCAGCCAATCGGAAAGTCGCTTAATATGCAGACGCAGCTGTGATAGCCAATAGGACGCCGACTACCTATCGACGTGTGCCATGGCCAATGGTAGGAGAGGACGGGCGCTTGATTTTCGCGGTACGTTGGAAACACGGGGACAAAACTTCAAATCCAATTCAAAATCAGGACGACGTGAGTGAATCGAGTACGTGGCCCATTAATCAAGTAAGCGATGTCCTTGTTCTTATGTCATTCCGGTGTCCTGATGCCAGGGAAAGCATAGAAGGCATTTGCACACGCACACATCGAACAGGGAAACCTGAAAAATCTGTTTAGAGTAGGATGAGAACTTCTTCCAACTTTAGGTCACAAAGAAACGGATATGTCACAGTTTGAGGAATCCGACAAGTCAAGTGACCTCTAACGCCTTGAGAATTTACGGCAGAATGGCGGCATAATACTGAACATAAGATGGATCTTCTAATGCACGAGATTTGTGGAGAATGAAATTTGAAAGCATGCATGAGCAAGGGCCAGAGGAGGGACTTCGTCGTGTAAGAAGAAAGGCAGTTAAATGGAATATAGCAGATTACAACGGCCTCCAGCACTGACTGACTGCAGTCTCTAACGGTGACTTTCCCTCCAGCATTCGCTTCTGCGGTCTTTCCATAGCTGTAGAACTCAGACGGGAAAATAAATCATTGCAGTTATTAGTCAAAATTGCACTGCATTTTCTCCTATTCCAGCCGGTGTGTGTGCATTACCAAATGCAGTAAATTAGGACGATAATGATAACTGGATGCATACATTTGGCCTCGTAAACGTCTTCGCCAGGAAACAACTCTTGAAGAAGATAGGATCATGTCTTAGCGGAAGTTTTACAAGTCAATGCTTACAGCTAGCGCAGTATAAACGTAGAGGAGAATGGGTTCACTGCAGCACAAGCTTTTTTTATATAAATCTGATAAAAGGTCGGCATTAAGTTAAACATTCCGCTCATGGCAATCAAAAAAATCATCAAGATAAAGAAGTTAGTCCATTATTTTCATTTCACAGTTTAAAGTAATTAGAAAGAAATAAAACGATCGAATTCACTGAATCTGAGCTGTTTTTCTACACTCTCTGCTCGGTGACCGATTACCCGTGAGGCCGCTGGGGTTGCTGTTTTGCATTTATTCACGACAAATGGCTAAAAAACCATGAGCCGTTTTGACAACTGTGCTCTAGCTCTGATGATCAAGGCAGGAATGCGTATGTCCATTGTGTGGCAAAACGCTGACCTAATTATACAATACAGTAGCTGTTATGACCCGGAAGGAAGGTAGGACAGGAAGAGAGCCGGTTCGGAGGACAAGCACTTTATTGGAACTTGCGGACAGGAGGGGGTTACAAGTCGTAAGAAAGGTGTGCTATTTATATTGGCTCCCGTGCATTCTGGAACATCCCGTCCAATGACGTGTCAGCCGTTGAAGGCATTCTAGAATGT